CACTGAAATGGTGCAACCCAAGTGAGAAAAGAAAAGCGTGAGAAAATTTTATCAAGTTCTTCCTCTCAGCCCTACATAGATGACAATCACCGCCTACTTGTGTTCAAAATGGTCGAGCCACCGTCATCATTTCTGTTGATCTCCAACTAAGGTACAACCATAACCATGACCACCGATGACCAGTGACTATTTTCATACCACTTTTGGGGTTGTTGTTCTCCTCGTGCCATCATTCTCCTTATAGATCTCACTTGTATCTTGTGGATTTAATGTTATTTTGCGATCTTTTACATGTAGGGTTGAAACATTCTTGCAAAACCGCGCCAAGGTAAGAGATCTCATCTTTTTTCTATGGAAAACGATTGAATGCTTGTTTTAATCTACAAATCTACTTAAAAATGTTAGATTTTTGTGTGGTTTTGATCGTTAGATCAGTTTATTTGCATCATTTTTGATATTTATTATAGGTTATTATTGTGTTAAATACCATGTTCTTTTTGGCCATTTTTTCTAATGAGTAACTGGTGAATATGAGAAAAATTACTAGGCCCTATATGAGATAATAGAGTTAAGATTGCTCTCTTCTATTGAGGTACTATTCAAGGCTTGTGCTTTGAATGCCTCTAAAAGCATTGATTGTAGGTCCAATAGAAAGTTCTAAATTACCCCATGAGGAAAAACTTGATTGTAAATATTCATCCTTAATTTGGTGCCAATTCATCAAGCTGTTTTGGTGGCAAAAGGTCATTCCTAGTAACCTTCACAGTTGAATCAACTCTTTCCCACCTAGAGGCATTAGCAAGAAAGGGAGAACCCTCTAAAATCTTGTACCTTTTGCAGTTTGTTGGCACATTTTAAAGGAGAGAAACTACAAGATCTTTAAGGGGGAAGTAGCAAGAGACTCAAAGGATGATTGGCATGGTTGAAAGAACAATCTTTTTCTTGTGCATCCACATTGAAGGATTTTGATGGTCTTTCCTTTTTTCCACTGATGTAATGATTTGGACAATATTACTTATAATCCTTAGTCAGGGGTGGTTGTATTTGGTGTAATTGTGCAAAGGCCTATAACCTGTTGCATGATCCTCTTGTATGTAGGCACTGGTTTATAGTGTCCTCTTCTCTCTATTCTTTTTAATAAATTCCTCAATCAAAAAAGGGCATCTATAATCATTTTACAGAAGCTCTTAAAACCCACTAAAAGCTAAAGAGATAAAAGCAAAGAAGTGAAATGAGAAGGATAAGAGAAGAAAGAATATGTGAGGTATTCCCCCACCCACCAATGTTTCAATTGATCCTTCCTTCCCAAGAAGATAGTGTTCTTTACCTTCCTCCAAGTCGTATTACATGACTCCTAAATAGATGAAACACCTATGCTGGACATGTGTGGGATTCTAATAGTCCATGGATTCTTAAGGGTAGAATTTTTGTGGGTAAAATTTCACAAAATATAGAACTAAACCTAACCTCAAGTTTTCATGTATCATTTCTAATAAAATAAAAAAAAAGTGTTCAAACACAACGGATTTTCTTATAATATTTATATCTTAACATGTTAATTGATACAATTCAAAAGACATTGATTGTTGATTTGATATGAAGAGTGAAGAAAGATCTAAACAACATAACATTTGAATGGTGACCCATAACAATTTATCATTGAAAATTATATATTACAAAAAGGGAGTTGTAGTTGGAAATACCAGGTAAGGAGATGGATGCTAGTTTAGGGGGTGCGATAAGAGACAAATGGGAATATGAACAATCGTTTTGTCAAATTTGGTTGTCACGTGGCAATGAATGGAATACAAACTATTTTACTTATGCCATGTGGCAAAAACACACGTACATGTCAGTGAACATATCATATTATTGCTTTTGTTGGTGTGAACAATGCCAAACAATTGATAATATCACATTGCACAACTAATAAATTTTCTCAAGAAACAAACGCAAGAAAATGAATCCTAAGCATATTCTTTCTTGAGAAACAAACACAGGATGTAAAACTGAGAAAAAAATTATTCTTTTCCCATCCCATCCCTTTTCATCCCATCATTTCTCATCTCATCCTTTCTTAGCAACCAAACGGATCATAATGTTCTTAGTCCTTTTATTGTTCCATGGAATTTGATACTTGGCCATACAACGAGGGGGTAGCTCATCCCCCATTATGTTAAAAACCCCCAACAGCTAAATAAAGCTAAACCACACACAAAGACTTAGCAAGGAAACAAGACAGATCAACACTTCATGTTAGTTATAGGTTCATTACATTGGTTTAGGCAAGGGTTGGCCTCAACAAAACCTAATTCGACCAAAGATTGCATCCAAGTGAGGCCTCATTTGTTTTTCAATTCGCAAATAATGCATTTAACTAGGCAAAATGATTCCCGAGCAAGTTGCAATGCCAGTGTTTTTGCACCAATGCTTACTCGGGTTAAGACTTTAGAGGAGATTTTGATGCTTTTTTGGCAGGTGGGTATGCAACTTACCCACTCACCTAGGAGAGTATTGATTATGTGGGGAGTTGATACTCTTTTAGAAATAATCTTTTCATACGACCCATTATACTAGCACTCGTACCCAGAATAATGAGGCTAACCCCTTGATATTGGTAGACGAATGAGGCCTTAGAGGCAAGAAGACTAAGTATATCCCAAGACGTGGAGCTGCAATTTGGGCTACATTAATCCCAACTCAACCGGTTAAGTCATCCCAACAGACCGCAACTAAACCGACCTTATTATATAGGGTCTAAGTAACAGAGGGATTCCTTGCAAATGGCAACTCTACACACACTATGAAAGCATGAAAATCCAATCGCATGTTAGGAATATCTCTCCATGAATTTAACACATGGACGAAAGTTCCCAATTTGTGCTGGATACTATACGAGCATTGCATTACATGTTCCGATGAAATTGGGGTGGGATCGGTTTTGGTTGTTCCGAACCAATTATGACCCGGACCGAATATAATGTACAAATATGTTAACTTGTTATGAGATGGGCTGGGGTTCAGGTTTTGCCTAAATTTAAATGGGCCCAGCTCGAGTGCTTATTAAGTATAGCTGTCGATTGGAAGCCACGTGTCCTTATGAGTATCGGGTCGGTTTCGGATCTATTCAGATCCGCTCCAGCCCTGACCCATTGACAGCACAGCGCCAGTGAAAAATATGACTCCGTTCTTGTGCCGTATGAAGGAATCATGTGCTTGATTCCGATTGTCCATTCCGCAAGGAACCATCTCGATCGGCCGTGCATCTGCAATTGATTGATTCTCCATCCAGCCTTAAAAAGTCCAATCCATTAATCTGACGCCACGTGTTCTCATGAATCTTAACGAACGCGCTCTCTCTTTGGAGCAGTAACTCGTGGGAACTGACGCAACCTGTGGGCCCCTTGATAATTGACACGTGGAACAGAACGAATGGGTTAGGCTGTTTCACAGCAGACCGTCACCCTTAATTTAATAGCGCGGGGCCAACTTGCAGCCTGTCACCACTACGGAGCAACGTGGAAGATTCCTGGTCGTCGAGATCAGGCTTCCTGGACGATCGTACAGCTTAGCCACTAGCCAGGCCCCCACCTCCCTCTTTACCCCGGGAGGCGGGATTATTTGGTTCATGTGAAGTGAACGTACGAGATAAAAAAGGAAAAGGTGGGCCTCGTGGTTCGTGATAAAAGCCCACTAGCCTTCCCGCTCTCCCATCCTCTCTGTCTCACTGACTCCTCTGGAGCCTGAACTCGAGACAGATGTACCTGCTGCTTCTCAGGAACCTTATCTTGTGGGCCCTACCCAAACTAATAATTATTGCTTTCCATTATTTATAAAGGTTAGCTTAGCTTAATCACCTAATTATTTAATTAACCCACTAATTACAGAGAAAGATTCCGCTTAAATGAAACCCCTCCACTCCTTTGCCGGAATATCACTGGCCGCCCCTCTCTGCCTGCTCCTACCCAGACACTAATTAAAAATCATTTATTTATCCAGCCCATACGTCACCGTCACCGTCAATCCTTAACGGCGTTACAAACCCGTTTCAACCCGGGATTACCAACCATTAATTACTCCTTTCATTTATGTCACATGGTCTACATTGGGGGGGGGGGGGCATTGTCAATTTGCCATATTTTTGCCGACCTTTTAAAGTGGGTTCTCGCAAAAGTGGAGAAACATAGTTCCTTGGACCGAGTTGCCCCTGGTCATTGCATAAAATTGCCCGTTGAGACAGCCTGCCAATTTGTTGTTTTACCAAAAGCAGGTGGGGTGTTTTTTGTAATTCGCCTATCTTATATTTTTAAGAAGAACGTCTCGAGACGGAAATGCCCCTGGGAATCTTGGATGGGAGTCCCATTTGGAATGTTTTCCTCTTTCCCCCTAAAGCTAGGGCAGGGAACTGGTGCATTGCCCGAGTGCCGACAGCCATGCACGGCACACGTGGGCAGCGGGCAGAGTATCCGGACCCAATGTTGAATTGGGTCCCACCCTCAGAGGACCTGCATGGTCAAGATTCATTTGACGTAGATGACTGCAGAGCCCTTCGATTTTGTAGCCACATTAATTGACCCAGTACGCGGCTATACAGTTATATTTAGTCGTAGCGATGTGATCTCAGCCATATGATCTTCGGAGCCGGACCATATGGGTCCCACTCGAGGAGACATGCTGAATCAGAAAAAATCAAACAGTTCCAGTCCATTTGGATTCTTCTATGGCAAAGAAGGGTTTAGCTGTACGAGATCAAATTTCACTAGAAATCTCATGGATGTTACTCATCAATGCCTGGTGGGTCCGGGTTGCTGCAGCGTGCCGCCCGTGTGACTCGACCGCTGGTAAAGGGTGGTGGCAGCACCGTAATTTTGGCACAAAATGGGGGGGGGGGGTAATAAAATAGCGTATCCAAGTGAGAAAGTGAAGTAATTTTCTTGGTTTATTTTATATTATTTTTGTTATTTCTTTAATATATATTGTTTTTACTTCTTTTTGCGCGTGGAGAGGAAGCTTGTAGGGGTTTCAGGGCACGCTTTGGATCGGTGTTTTCTACTGAGAAGATTGTGCGCATTGCGCACTCATCGGTTGGCCTTGACACCTCGAGAGAGAAAGCCTTGATAAGCAAATGAGAATTTAAATAAAAAATTAATGAAGAAAAAGCAAGAAGTATTTAGAGAGAGAAAGTAGGAGAGAGAGAGAAGCATTGGGTGTCTCTCCGAAGGAAAAGCTGAAGTGAAAAAGAGGTAGCGGCAGCAACAGCAGCTGCAGAAGTTGCAGTGGGACAGCGATTTTGCAGAGGAGGTGTAGGCTCCGCATCGTTAAACGTCGATCAACTTTGGACGCTCTTCGATCCGTCTCTCTTTATTTCATCTCGTTTTCTTAAATCTCTGGGAACATCGTTCGGCTGTTTCAGGAATCGAAATTGGAGCGAGATTTTTCTCGGCGATCGAGCTGGGGATTTGTGGTATTCCGTTTTTTTAACCCGGTAAATCTTGAGATCTTCTTGGAGAATTTGGAGGAACCGAGGCTGTTCTCGTCATGAGAAGGGGGAGTATTTTAGGGTTTTCGGTCGGGGAGAGGCCGGACTATCTGAGACTCTTGAGCATATTCTAGCGGATTGCGGTTGGAGGAAGCTTGACTTTTATAGAGGTAACGTCTGGACTCTGGGTAGTTCCGGAGATTCTAAGTTTCTGAAAGCAAAAAAGGGGAAAATTTCTTTGAATCTGTTGATTTCATTTCGTTTTCCCCCGTTCGCGACCAAGAGGAGACTTTTCTGTGGAAGATTCCACCTGTTCGTACTTTACGGCGGTTGATTTCTCCACGGGAAGCTCTAAAGCTATAGCATCTCACCGCGTCCTTCCGGTCAAAATCAGTTCAAATTTGCCCGTCTTGAGTAGAATCTCCTTGCACTTAGTCGTTCTTATAAGCATTTTCTCTCCTGTGTCTGAAAATTTTCACTTTTTCTTAGAAATGTTTGGTGCAAAAAGAATGTATATAGAGGGGGAAATATGAACGATCGGGCATCTTCGTGCATCTGATCGGGATTTCTTTTGTTAGTTCAGCATTTTCTGCAATTTTTTCTTGAAAAGCTCCGTTTTATCCTTGCAGACTTTGCCACTTCTAAACGTAAAAGAAGAATAGCAGAATCCAGCTCTTGAAGATCAATCAGAGTTAAAGATCGAACATCTTTGCGCATTTAAGGAGGAGTTAAGAGGGTTTTATTCGAAGTGGAGTCGGAACAATCTGACACATTTATAATCGATTAACAAGCCGTTGCACAATCACCTGCGTTATATTATGTGTCCAGTTCGTCTTTAGGCATTTCCAGAAGATGTTTGTGTAAATTGCATCGAGATCAAGGGGAACAGTTTTTACTGCGTCGGTTATTAAAGAGGTTTTGGGAGAGAGTAAATAATAGGGGAACAGTGTTGGAAACTTGAAATTTCGAGTACTGAAAACTAGTCTTGGTTGGTAAGAATATTAAAAGCTTCCTGTCCTCTGGAAATAATAACCTTGGCATAGAAGGAGGCTTTCTCTTCTCTGTATGAAAAATCCTCTCCCACAAAAGGGATGGGGTAGTTGAAGGCTTGAGGCGAGTGATTGGGCGACAGGTTCTGAGACTTTGTCGAATTTGACTTGAATTTACGGCTTTTGGTTGGGGAATTGTCGTAGATCGTGGACTTTTGTGGACTTCATTATCGCTCTTCCATGGAAATGGCTGCTTTAAATCAATCATCCGGAGGACCTAACTCAGGTTTGGACTTACTCTCTCCCTCTCCCTCTCTCTCTCTTGCGCAAAAAAGAAAGCTGTATATGTAGGAATTATGTTACATGCATAAATAAATCATCTAGGATCCCTATTTTAATACTTGTTGTTTGACTATCCGCGAGGAATGCATAATTTTCTTTGAGACCTTTTTATACGAAAGAGAGATATTGATTTTCTGTCATATGTTCTCAAAAGTTGTAGGGACTGTTCCTTCAAAAGATCCATGTCCAGACTTTGTGATTTTAAGGGGCTGTTTAACAATGTATCCTAAATAGTTCTGTTGTCTGGTTACAAGGCTTCCATCTTGTTCTGTTCTTTCAAACAACTCCCTTAAAGTTGTCCCTAATCTTCTATTCCTGCTTAACGATGTCTTTAAGATAATTCTCTTTCCCTGGTTCTTTACTTTTAATTTCTCCTAATTCTTTGCTTTAATCCTCCCCTTTAATAATTCCTCAAAAAAAAAAAAATCCTCCCCTTAATAATTCCCCCCCCCCCCCAAAAAAAAATCTTCCACCTAATTACCTCCGATTTCTTTGGGTTTTGCATTCCATTATGTTGATTTGGACATCGGTTCTATTTTCTTCAACTTGCATATTCTTTAACGCAAGCTGCAAATATCTTACTTGAATTTGTAAATGGTGTTCAAACTTTTCAAACTTAACCTAGTTTTGGCTGTTCCTTTTCTGTGCTTAATATCTTCCTTTCTTTCTCTTGTTTTCTGCAATATATTTAAACTTCCCCCTTTGGCTATTCTTCATAGGGTCCTCCAGCGATCTTTTGTACAAGGAACTGTGGCATGCCTGTGCCGGACCATTGGTCACTGTACCTCGCGAAGGAGAACGAGTATACTACTTCCCTCAAGGTCATATGGAACAGGTAAAATTTAATTTTCTGTCCACCTTATTGCAATGAAATGAAACTAGAGCATCTCTTATATGACATTTTTGTGACCAAAGAAAGGCAATGACCATGGAGCTTCAGGCAGGACTTTAATACATGGAAAGAGGCTCCCCTACCCACTCCCAAACTCCCTACACTAAAAAATAAAAGAAAAAAAATAGGAGCTTGTGTGGATGGTTTGACAGGGAGTTACCCTGAGGACAGACTCTCCTACATGCCATGCAAACTATCCCTGAAATTTTATTAAGTGGAAAAAAGAATTACAGGTTGGTGGCTGGGGTTGGGGGACATGAAACCTGACCCCTAGACAGAAACATGGTAATATAATATTGAGTACAATGGTCGTGATTTTTTATGTCTTTCCAATTGTTATATAATTGAGCCTGAGGAGGTAGGGTATTCCAGATTGACCATCCTATATTGCTAAATGATTATTTGCTGTTGCATTGAGGCTGGAAATCATATCAGCTAGCTTATTTCCCTCCCTGAGTGTGTGGTTGGCATCCATCTGGAGATTGTTTGCCTGATATTGTACCCAAGTTTCCCAATACTATAAGCTCCATGGAGTGGTGTTTTTTGCAACGTGATATCAACAAGAATTTGAGTCTAATCTTGCACTGTTATTATGGTTTAGGCCCAGCTCTTCACTGTACTGTATTCTATCTTAGAATGAATGTGCTTTGATGTTATATATGTTACCCTTCCATTATAATGTGAGGAGGCCAGGACCAGTTTCCCTTTACTATTTCATGTTAGACTGCCATCTCCTTCATCACTTGGATTTCCTCTTGCTGCACCATCCACATACAGTAACCCAATATGGGGGCATTGCAGAAAACAAGTCTTCACCTATTGGTTTTTTTTACCTCCCAACCACATTGACATTCAAAGAGGCAGTTCATGTCTCTCTAGGTTTTTGCAGCTTACAGAAAAAGCTTCGGGATATGGTGGTTTCTTTGTCCATTTTTCACCTTTCATATTTTGCTGCTGTCTTTTCCTTCCATTCTTTTCTTCCACCACTCTCTCCATGAGTAAATTCTTACATAAAAGATCTTACACCAGAGGGGGGAATGCACCTGTGATTGTTCATCAGAAGCAATAGCTTGCTTTCTTCTTTTTCTGCAATTTGTGCAACTGCCAACTTGGTGTGCAGAAAACTAGTATTAGTGCATTGTACATGTATGCTTTGACCATGATTACCTGCCCAATATTATAAACTGGCTCTGAGAGCAACATAGATTCCCATTGATCCTTGTTTATTTGCTAACTTGACCTTCCCAATCCAAGCAGAACTTAAAGGTGTTTCCATCCTTTCTTGCATTAAGGGAGTAACTAACCTTGGTTTTGGTTTTGTACTGACTTTGTTTGTCTTTTATGTCATTTTAAAGCTTGAAGCATCAACACATCAAGGGCTGGATCAGCAGATGCCATCATTCAATTTGCCATCTAAAATACTTTGCCGAGTGGTTCATGTGCAGCTTCGGGTAATTATACCGGGATTGCTTTCCATTCTTTTATTTATTTTTTCATTTTTTTGCAAAACCAGAATACTCCTTGTTCTTCCTTTGTTTCTGCATCACTTGGCATTTTTTTTCTTTTTGGAAATGTAGGCTGAACCAGAAACAGATGAAGTCTATGCCCAGATTACCCTGCTCCCTGAATCAGATGTAAGTTCTTCTGTTCTTCTTTGATCATTTTGATCCCTAAGTTCTAATTCTAACCATCACTTGTTCCATTTTCCTCCCTTATCTATTTCCTTTTTGTGTGTTTTTGTCTGCTAATATAATTTTTGTGCTTCACTGAGGATCAGCAAAGTGAGGTCACCAGCCCAGATCCTCCATTACCTGAACCTCCAAGATGCACAGTCCATTCTTTTTGCAAGACTCTAACTGCTTCTGACACAAGCACGCATGGAGGTTTCTCTGTTCTTAGGAGGCATGCAGATGATTGCCTGCCACCATTGGTGAGCTTCTAAGATAAATGTTCTATTCATTTTTTGATCTTTAATACTGCAGTTAGTTTTGTCTTCTTTTATCCAACTTTGGGTCTTTCCATCTTTTTAGGATATGTCCCAGCATCCACCTTGGCAGGAATTGGTTGCAACAGATCTGCATGGAAATGAATGGCATTTTCGTCATATTTTTCGAGGTAGTTCTCTTTGTAGCCAACTTGTTGATTAGACTGAGTGTTTGAATTCGTTAGGTTAATCTTGGAATACATCTGAGTTAGGGATTCAGCCTCAAAAGATCTTGAAATACAATGTTGTGTCAAGTTGCTTCAGAGACGGCACTACTAGTAAGTTGCCCTAGGGCCTTGGTGTCTAGGTGCAACAAGAAAATTGATAAAAAACATGGTTGAAGGAAGGTATGTTCACTTGTTTCATCATGCTGTGCAAAATGGCAACATGATGACTTTTCATCCAAAATTTGTTTGGTAGGATAGTTGGCTTTTTTATATAGCTTGCATGTCATGCATTGATATGGATCTTTACCTACAGCAGTTTCATGCTGATTTGAATTAGATCATTTTAGTAACTTGTTATCTTAGCTTGTTCTGGTACCAACTTGTTAGCATTGGTTATTACCTAAAATGCTAAATCTAGAATGCTAAACATTACTTGCAGGGCAACCCAGGCGCCACCTACTAACTACAGGGTGGAGTGTCTTTGTTAGTTCCAAGAGATTAGTAGCTGGTGATGCATTTATATTCCTAAGGCAAGTTTTAGAACACAAAATGCAATTAGTATGTTCCAATTTTATTTCCATTCAGTTCATGAATTTGTTGCATCTAACTTATTATTATTTTTTATTATCAGAGGTGAAAATGGAGAGTTGCGTGTTGGAGTGAGGAGGCTTATGAGACAGTTAAACAATATGCCATCATCTGTCATATCAAGCCACAGCATGCATCTTGGGGTCCTAGCTACTGCATCTCATGCCATTGCAACTGGAACTCTTTTTTCTGTATTCTACAAGCCAAGGTTTGGTAGTTCTTTTCTCTTCTGTGCAGCTCAGTTTTTCACAGGGTTGTTAAGGGATCACACTGTTTTCCTTTTTCCTTTTTATTTTGGGACAGGTGAAACATCTATGTCTTTTGAATATTTAATGTGCTTATCCACGTGATTTTTCACAAGTTTTGAGTGTTAAAAGCACCTGATGAAAAAAAAAAATCTTATGTTTGGTAGTTTTTTATCTATCAAAAAAAATCTAAGCTGTTCTCTGGATTGAAATTGCGTGAATCATATTTGGATAACCAAGTCACTTGGCAGTTTTTGGATTGTCAAGTTTCTGAAAATTTCCCTTATCTTGTTATTCATTATTGCTGTTTGTTAGATTGGAATAATACAATGTTTTGCTGAACCACATGAAAATTTTCTGTTATTGATAAAAAAATTGCTGAACTTGCTTTGCCAGGACGAGTAGGTCTGAGTTTATCATAAGTGTCAACAAGTACCTTGAAGCTCGAAACCACAAGCTATCTGTTGGGATGAGGTTTAAGATGAGATTTGAGGGTGAGGAAGCTCCTGAAAGAAGGTATATAGGGTATTGAAATGCTCAATTTGATTTATGTTAAGCTAAGTAACATTTATGGATCAGCTTGCTTCTTTTTTACTTCTACAGATTCAGTGGTACCATAATTGGTGTTGGGGAAAATGCATCACCATGGTGGGCAGATACTGAGTGGAGATCCTTAAAGGTAAATGTGTTTCTATTTTTAAGCTTTTATTTAGCTTGAAGTCTCTCTACAAGATATTTTGTTACATGCATTTCATGGCAGCATTTGGCTCCGGGGTTAATGCTAATTAGGCAGGTGCTTTAACATCCTGTTTGACCATCAGATATCAAAGATTTCTTTCACCTTTCACATGTGCTTTGTTCTCATCGTTGCAACTAGAAGTCCCATACAAGATGGATTTCCTTTGGCCCACCTGGGGTTTTATTTCACATGTCTTGGGCATGAATTCTATGCACCAAGGCCTCCCTAAGAGCCTCGAAAAGATGTTATGATGGCTTTAACCTGCTTACTTCTGGAAAATTTGTTGAGTCTTATCTTTTCAGTTTGAGTGTCAAATTTTGATAGTCTTGCCTGTGGTTTTCTGTTTTCTGTAATTGTGGTGGGATTGTAGGGCCACAAGTTGGGTATTTGATAGTCTTGCATGTGATTTCCCATAATTGTGGTATGATTGTAATAAGTTGGGTACTCAATTTGAAAAATTTACACTATATCTGATCCCTTAAAATTTTTATAAATGTTCAATCTAAGCCCACCCAAATTGCACCCATAGATTAGCATTCAAATAACTGTGGCATGACATCTCTCTACCTTGAAATTTGATTGATTATCCCCATGTTAGGTTCAATGGGATGAACCATCATCAATTCCACGACCAGATAGAGTTTCACCATGGGAATTGGAGCCACTTGTGGCAACTGCTCCTTCAACCTCTCAGCCAGTGCAGAGGAATAAAAGGGCACGTCCACCAGTTTTACCTCCTCCGACATCAGATGTTTCAGTTTTTGGTAAGAGTACTTGCTTTTAGTCTCTCTTTCTCTCTCTCTCCACAGTGATTGTAAGGGGAAAGATTTTGTTCTATATGTGTTCAGGAATGTGGAAATCTCCAGTTGAGTCTTCTACTTTTTCATATTCTGGTCTACACCGTGGCCGAGATCTGTATCCATCACCCAATTCAACATCCCTCTTCTCCTCAGTCACTAAGGCCAATTCCCTGGGATTCAATGGAAATAGTTCTCCAGCTGCTGTGACCAGTAATCCAGTGAATTGGTCTAACAGAGCAGAAGCTCCAGCTGAGTCTGTTACCCAAGCCATTAATAGAGAATCTGGTGAAAAGCGACAGGAGACTTCTAGTGGCTACCGGCTATTTGGAATTCAGCTTGTCGACAACTCCACTTTGGAGGAAACCTCGCCAGTGGTTACTCTCTCCGGAATTGGTGAAGATCAACCTGCTCCTTCTATGGATGCTGATTCTGACAGGCAATCTCAGCCATCAAATATCAATCGATCGGATAATCATGCAGTAAGCAGTGAACCTGAGAAGTCATGCCTGAGGTCTCCACCACAAGAGATGCAAAGCAGACAAACTCGAAGTTGCACTAAGGTAATTTAGGCACTGCATCCACTTTCATGTAATGCATTCTTCAACCTGGAATATAATAATCCTTTATCCAGAGTACTTGAGCAAAAAGGCTGCTATCAACTAGTCATTCAGCTGTCACTTCAGCCATTATCAAATGGCCTCCAAGATCAATTCCTAGGACAGATCCATGTCGATTGTTGTTTGTCACTGACATGATTAATTGAGTTACCATTTTATATCAGACCTGCGAGATAGAATCTTTCAATGGTAGCCTCTTATACTTTTCCTAATGTAAAATAACTAAATTGGGCTACTGTGGTATACAAGAGGGTATAAGATATCCTTTGAAGATTATCATATTCCCTGATAGTTTTAACCCTTCTGTGAAGGGGGAAGGGATTTTTGGTCATGGGTTTTTGATAGATGATTCATTTAGAGAAGGAAAGGAATCTAGATACACTGGAATCTTACATGCAGTAGTTTAGTAGGTAAAGGATTAAAAGATGTGTTCCTATCTTCATTCTTCTATTCGTGGGGCAAGTTAGAACAACAACATTCTCATGTACAAAGCCTTAAGTTGAACATGTCAATCAGTCTGAGCAATTCTAGTATCACAGTTCATGTCGATCTTGGAGCCCTTTGGATATTGCATTTTGTCCTTTTGTCATGGAAATGCTATTTTTGGGCGCTCTTGTGAAGCTAGTGTTGGCTTTACTAGTCATCTGATAAAAGAGAAAATGTTCAGAACTCCCTCAAATGTTGATGTCTTGGGAGACAAATCTTTGTAACTGGTGGAATGGGATGGACTGGGTAGGTGAGCAAATGGGAAAATAGACTGCCTGTGGGCACCAGACATGGCATTTCTCTCAAAATGAAATGCCATTTTTCTTGGATGGTAGATTTTTCTCTTTCTCTTATATCCATGCCTGTGGGCACCAGACATGGTATAAAAGGCATGTTTCCATGAGTGAGTGCATTCATCCATCTTTGTTGGAATGGTAGAGAGGTTGACATGCAATAAGTGGCTTTTGACTATTAGATACTAAATGTAGACTGTTAATGCAATAATTGTATAGGTTCACATGCAAGGGATGGCTGTTGGAAGGGCTGTTGACTTGCAACGGTTTGACTGCTATGAGGACCTTCTCCGAAAGCTTGAAGAGATGTTTAACATTGAAGGCGAGCTCTGTGGGCTGAAAAAGAAATGGCAAGTTGTTTACACTGATGATGAAGATGACATGATGATGGTTGGGGATGACCCCTGGCAGTTAAGTGTGAATGGGCCTCTATTTATATTTTATGCACTAATTACACAATCCCTGGCATTTCTTAGTTATGAGAATTTAGACTCAACTATGACTTTTCTATAGGGTGTTGAAACAAACACAAGGTGAATTACAACACTGCCCACAACATAGTTTTATATGTTCGCAAAACTTTGAAAATGAAGATTTGGTTTTGGAGTCACAACTTAGGAGTTTGCAAAATATCATTTGGGAATATTGAGGATGAAATTTTGGTGATTTATTTCATCTAAAGTTTTTGATATAATATTAAGATGATAATAAACCAATTATATAAATACGAAAAATACTATTATAAAATATTTAAAATTTTCATTTTTACAAAATTTAGATTTAGAAATTTGAAAAATTCCATCAGACCAAGGGTCTGAAATTATTTGAGCCTAAAATCTTGGTAGCATGCATATTTTACAATCATACAACTTTAGGAGTTTGCTTCTGTTGAGAATACCCAATGGACTAAAGGTTTGAAGTTGGTTGAATTTAGTAATTCATTCAGGTGTCCTTGAAATGGAGGGATGCGCTAGATCTGCCCTTTCCCAGGTTGATTGGGGGGAGGGGGTCATTCTAGTCTGTTGCAGATCTACTATAGAATGAAGAAAGCCAATCAGTAAGTTGTAATTTGGCAGGATGTCAATTGTTGGGGCCAGACTGCTTTGGCTAGCATTTTTCTCATTTTAAGTTGCAGTTGAATGTGATCATTATTAGTAGTTCGTCTAGTCTTTATTTGCTCAAGTTTCAAGTTTCATAGTCAACTCACAAAGTCTAGTAGGTAGGAAATAAACGTTTTCTTGGGGTCTAATGACATTTTCATAATTAAAATGAAAAGGTGTTTTGCTTTGCACTTTTTTTCTCTATACATTGTTCTTTTGTTTTACTGATTAGTAAGCTTGAATGTTGGTTTTGCATATATGTGCTGTTGTTCCTCAGTGAATTCATCAACATGGCAAGGAAGATCTTCATCTACACAGCTGAGGAAGTGAAGAGGTTGTCTGCCAAGACGAAGCTTCCGGGGAGTGCCGAAGTCAAACCAGTCATACTGGATACAGAAGCAGTAGTCGGTAACGAGGACCAGTCTTCTGTGATAGGGTCTGATGGTTAATGAGGCTGCACCCATTACTATTTTCTTAGTTCGGGAGACGGAACAAAATACAAATAGAAAAAGAAAAAAAAAAAAAAGAGAAGCTCCTCCATCATCGCTTCTCAAATTTTTTCATTCTGGACCAGATTGGAAGGGCTTGGCACAGGGGGCGGTTAACCCATGTTGTTGGGTCCAGTTTGGTTTGGGATGTAGTGGGAGAGGTGAGGTGGTTAGACTATATTGACCACATATTGGTTGGGAAGTGGTTTGCCTGTATCTTTTGTTCGTCTTTTTTTTTTTTGTTATAATTCTTGGCTTAATGTAGTCTTTTTTGCTTGTATTTTTGGGGGGAAACTTGGTAACTGAGAAGTCCGAGATATCATAGTGTAGGGATGTCGATTGTGTGGTGAAGTTGGTAGGATACATTTGTCGATTATGCTGCAAAGGTAAAACGTAAACAGGTGGTTTATTCTGTGACGTGGATGCGCTTTTGCTGGTGTTCGTGTCGGTCTTCTCCCTCTGTTGATTCTTTTCTTGAAAATTTGTAGGACTAGAAAATAGAGGTTTGTTCACTCCATCTCCGCCCTGGCCCCATTTGACTTTTTAACTGACCCCCACAGCCCCACTATTGGTCCTTGGCTTTGTGTTGGGAGTTAATGTCGCCCTTATGGATATACATTTAATCACCATGGTTTACGCCACACCATAGTAGCAAGTTTTTCTATGTTTGTTTCTCAAAGGTAGGCTTCACACAAAGGGTTTCCTAAGAAATAGGGGTCTTAGTATTGATGGGGGTGTTGTTTTTGTGGCGAGTAAGAGGTTCTTTGGAGTTGTGATTTTGTCAAACAAGTGTGTTTGGTAGTGGATAACAACATTCTTGGCCTCGTGGAATTTATTAACAACCAATTAGAAAGATGGGCTAAAAATCATAGAAACAATACAAATACGAAAAAGAGATGTGCTTTTTATTTTATAGCAGATTTGGAAGTATAGAAATAATAAAATCTTTGTAGTTTCTTTGGTGCCTCCAAATGATTATTGATAAAGCGGCTTTGGCTTTTAAAGAATTCAGAGAGTTGAGAAACGACTCTATTTCAATAATTGAAAAAAAGAAATGGAAGAACATTAAGTGGATCCCCCTGAAGTTGGGTCGATTAAAATTAACTTTGATGCTTCTCGTCGTACCAATGGTATGTGTACTATTGGTGTGATGGAGGTAATTATTATTGAAGGAGACTCAAAGTTAGTTATCTCTTGTCTCAAGAACTAGACCCATTCTCCTTGGAACGCAAGGAATATCATCCAAGATTGGCTTAAGTTGAAAGATCACCTGGAGAATTGAGTAAGTTACAGACGTGTTCAGAGGCAAATCAAGCGACTGATTGGATTGCTAATGAAGCTCATTCTAGGTTTTGTTGCTTGCATCTTGATCTTTGTAATCTTCTGAATAGTTTAGTAGCTATTTATAAGGGAGACTTTTGGGGACGTGCTACCCCAGGCTTGTGTAGCACATCCAGGTTTCTATCAAAAAAGAATGGTAATTAGTGATCTAAAAATAAACAGGCTAGTGCTGATCCAATGTTCAAGGACTAGAACTCATGAAAGTTTCAAAGATAAACTAGTATCAAGGTAAGAAATGAAGAAAGTCAAGATAAACTATCTAGAAATCAGAACTAGAACTATCAGTCGTAGAGAAGGGTAGCATCTAGCATGTTATATATTTTGGTCCTTAGTTTATTACTGGCCTGGTGGCTCAATTACAATGGGATTAGGATTTAGGAATATGCATGTTGGGGGGGGGGGGCAAGGATTTGTTAGGGAGAATGACTGATCAGTCCAGGTCAGAATTTTGTAGCCCCACCGTACAGAGGGGATGAATCCTGGCCATGAATTGATGCCAAATTCACAAACAGGATGCGGTTTATGGGGGGAGGGGGCTACTGGTAGAGTATGGGGGCTGTCATTCAGAATTCTGCATAGGTTGCAGAGTATTTAATCTTAACCCTTTATTATATTATTTTTTAAAAGAGATTTTTTATTATCAATTAAGGATTTCTTGGATGAAAAAGAGTTGCACATTTTTCTTTATACATGACTTTAGCAGACTATTAAAATATATCTTGGTTATCCTAACAAACATGATCCACAATGTACGGCTAAATGCCCTCCGGATATTCTTGTAGGTTGGTGGGAGTGTTGTACCTTTGTTTTTTATTTTACGCAGTGAATTTAGTTCGAGAGTATATTCATAATTCATGTAGCACAGAGCAATTGGAATAAAAACAATAAAAAATCAATCCAAATGCAACTATGCAAGGAGAAATCAATATGTGGTTGATCCCCAACAAACTCTTGATGTTAATTGAGAATTTGTTTGTTTTGGGAACACAATGGGTATCTGGAAGGCAATTTTGAGTGCGTCAAGATAGGTTATGAAAGTAATTTTAAAAAGAATACGTGAATTAAGGTTTAAAGTATTGACATGTATCGGCCCGTATCAGCTGATACTTGTTGTTCCGGGTCCCCTCCGATACGCCCCTACAGTGGGTGTATTGGGGGTCTGACCGGTTCAGGGGGTGGAGGAGCCCTAAACCGGTTGCGAAAAAATAAAAAAAAAGGCACAAAATGCAGTATCGATTCGCCCGATATGTCCCTACCGGTGTATCAGGCGTATTGATATTTTGAACCTTGACGTGAATAACACTTAGATGACCATAAGCAAGTCATATACACAAAGAACACATACTTTGCAGTGTGAATTACCAGAACACATTGAAAGATTATAGAACAAAAAATGGGAATGTGACTATGCAAGCAACTGAGAAATTCAGTGATGTTTGAAAACTAATAGGATAAAAATAAAAACCTTCCCTAGGTTTTTTTGATAATTATAAACTTCCCCTATGTTTTGGCCTGGAGAAAACCTCCCCTGTAGTTTTGAAAAAAAAAGATGCAAATATCTCATTTTAGTTTTTGGGTAATGGAAGTGTTGAAGTTCCCAAGATATCCTTATTACCATTGAGGCATATTGAATTAGGGGTGCAATTCAGGTCGGTTGGACCGAATTTAAGCTCAACCCAGGTCCAACCTTAAGAATTGGGTTGAATAATCAATCTACAGTAAAATTTAATATAAATGTGTATATATGCATGCATGTATGTGTTTGTATATGCATATATGTATCTATATAGATAGTTGGCATTGCCTGACTTTGGGCCACCTAGGGATAGGCCTAGCCCACCCAAAAAATATAAAAGCTCATACTTTTAGGCCTAGGCCCAGCTTGAGACCCTAAAATCCAAGCATTATCCATATAATTACGGGTAGGTCAATGTAGGTTTGGGTTGGACTCACCAAAATTGCACCGCCTACGGTGGTCGGTCTCGTGGAACGACCACGAGATATTGCGTTTCAGTCTACACAATGGTTATTTAGGACGTTCGGTCCACGGGGTCTTCTTGTGGATCAAACCACGCTACCCTTATGAAAGGAAAAGTGATCCCATACTTCACATATGATATTTACCCTAAACTAAATCCGTTGTTTTTAACTTTTTACCGTTGCCTCTCACAGAGCAACGCCACTACCACTGCTTCTCCACTCACCACTATTTGCTTCTCTTCTCGCCGCTGCAGCTCTGACCACCGCTGCACCGAACTGCCAACTGTAAGTGCTCTTTTGTTTACTTTTATGAAACCCCTGTTTCATAATTCGATTCTTATGCCCTATGACTGGTAATGTTTAGATATCTACATGTTTACGTTTTGTGAGAAACGAATTTTCTCTTCATCTGTATAACTATAAGACCCGTTAACAGAGCATTTCTCTTTCATCTGTAAAAAGGAAAACGAAAATCAGTATCCCCATCTGGTGTTTTCGATCCTTCTTGATCTAACTTGATGTTGGGCCTTTGAGGTTTACTTCGGCTCCCCAACAACCAAAACCCACAAAAGTATTCTCACACAGTGATTACGGAAAGAAACAACCTTACTTTGTCATGTATTTTACCTGGAAATTTTTAGGAGAAAGGGGCAACTTTCCATGACAAATGGGATCCATTTATTTTTCTTTACATGATTTGTTTTTAATTTTTTTGATGGGTAGTTGCAATATGAATTAGATGTTTGAATTTTACAGAGCCTTGGCCACAGCCTGCATGTAAATATCCGACTTTCGTTTGGGAAGGATTTCAATAATACAATCTTGATAAATCAATGAATTAACTGCTGAAATGCAGTTTATATAGAATATTTTGATATGACCAATCCTTTTGGAACATTATGACTGTAGTTCATCTTTCTTAGGAAGGTGTTTAGTGGTATAGGAGTCTCACATGAATTGACATTCAGATAGCTTAGCTAACTTGTGATGGTCAGATTGCACCTCCTTGGCCAAGATTCATCTATGTCAAATGATCCCAATGGTCCAATGATTAGATATACCTAATATATGATGAAGACTATTTCAATTGATTGAATGTCTAAGTCATCTAAGTGGGATGGTGTTTGGTCTAGATATGAAGGATTGCAAATTATAAGAATGTAAATCACTTAGAGTTGATTTTCTTCTTGTTCTCTTTTAATTAGCCTGTAATTATTAATTGAGCTGCTAGCATGTAATTACTACACTTGCAGGCATAGGGCTATGTAAAACAATTGGCTTCATTTCATGATTGATACATGTGTACTACGTTGAGTTCTGATCATTTTAAGATCCTACAGTCACAATTAGTGGTCTGGTAAGGAAAATGAAGAACAAACAAATAAAAAAAGTATAGAATCCCTAGTGTTGCAATCTCCTTTCCCATTCCTCCCTTCAAGAATTCCCCCAGTTAGTTCCCACTCTCCCAATATGAGCCCTTGCTCTTTTGTCTTTATCTTTCATAAGTAGTTCAGTCGAATCTTCATGGTCATTGCTCCTTATGCTATTTTTTCCCTTTGAAAGACTGAAACAAGAGTGTGGAAAAGTGGAGAAAGCGGCTGAAGAGGATGAACATCAAGGCATTGTCATGGCTATGTATACAAATTATTTAACTCGGATTTATATTTCCAGGTAAAATGCATGCCAAAGATATTTGACTTGGTCTTCCTCATTAATTCCCTTTGATACAATGCAAGAGGAAATAGTAAATGAATCTGCAATGTGGTGTGAGGCTGAATGAAGAACATTCATAGAGTTGATGGTTGAACAAGTAAATATACAATAAGACAATGTCAACTTTTAATACAAAAGATTGGAAAAATATTGTGGAGAAATTCAACAAAAGGCATGACAAATCATATAGTCATGATCAATTTAAGAATAAATTTCATCATCTAAAGAAAAAGTTTAATGATTATTAGAAAATTTGCAATCACATAGGGGTTACTATAGATCCAATTACAAAGAAACTAAGTGGTAATGAGAATGTATAAGACTACCTCATTTTGGTAAGACTCTTATGGACATATATAGACTATTTTTTTTATAGAGTTTAA